AAGAAAATGTCATTGCACAACAACATCAGATTGAGTCATCTCAATGGATATTTATGTTGAAGAATTCTTGTCTTTGGAAAACTTGAAAAATAAAAACTTACTTTTAAGAAACTTTATAAACTCTTTAGGTTATTCTCTTACAGATCAAGAGCCACCCTTAGGGATAGGGAAGTCAGCATTTAGGGGGGACTCTGAGGCTACAGGAGAAATGGTATTGTGCATCGCTGCCATTTTATTTCCCAACTAAGATGTAAATAGGAACATCTACTTTCTCAATTAGATTTAGCCTTAAAGTAATAAAGTGACTCCATACATGGACATATGCATATGACTTAGAATATAAATTAAAATGCATCAAGACATTTGTTGTTCTTATATTTCTTTTTACCCAGCAATATACCTTCAGAACTGACTTTGATTGTCATATGTCATGTTTGCCTATGCCTGGCCCAAAACTAGAAAATTGCACCCTATGGCTATTTTGTTTTTCTGTATGTAACACGATCACTCTTGGAGGGGGAAACACAGCTGTGAATGTCTTTTAAGTGGGAAAAAAATGTGTTTGAAAAACGCCAGACTTAACAAGCCCCTCTGTAAATGATCCCCTGTAACGATGACATTTTCCCTTCAGAAAGTTGATTTCTTCTAAATGTAAGAAAAGTAAAAGATCTGAAATGTGTCCTTTTAGTTGCTAAGGTGATTACTTTCCATTTGAAAGGTCAGCCCAGGCTTCCATCCTAAAGAGTGGGAACTCTCAAGCCCTTATTCCCTTTATTCATGTTTCTTTGGCTCCTGCAGCAGTAGTGTTTGTGCCTGTGCTGATACTGTGTGTATTAAAAAAAAGGGGCGGGGGGCAGGTGATGTGGGTCCAAAATGATGTGATGTCAAAGAACTGAGAAACTTCATATTATAAGGGAGAGTCAAGAGGAAAGGGGCATATTGAATGCAATAAACAAAACAGTCATTCCACTTTTCTAGCCACAAGGGACATAAGCAATAACTGTAACATGAATCTCTCCATTTTTTTAAAAAAGCTTTTATTCTTCCAGAAACATAATAAAAGGAAAGGTAAAACCCTAATCCAGTCATTTTTCTGCAAAGTAGACTTTAAATGAGTCTTTTTCCATGGCAATTTTATGGATCTCTCCAGCAATCACATTTTGTTTACTCTTTTATTAAATGTATTCTTATTTCAAAAAGTATACCAGGTACAAAGAGAACGCTTAGACCATGCATAATTCCATCCCCCAGAGGACAGGACTTTAATATTTGCTATATGCCTTCTAGGTTTTTGTTCTATAAATATATATATTACATAATTGATAGTTTTAAAAGCAAGACATGCAGTTTTTCTCCTACATGACTTTGTTCTTACTTTCTTGCTTCATGAATTATCTCCCCTTACCCTCTGGTATCTACATTTTTTTGTCTTTACCAATTTCTTCTTGAACAATAAACATACTCAATACCTTTACATTCTTGCACCCTCTTTTTTCTTTTTTGTTTTAACTGTGGAAAGAGCACTTACCCTGAGATCTACCCTCTTAACAAATTTTCCTTCTTTTTATTCAAGCTTTCCTAAGAAAGCTAAGTCCTCTCTCACTATCTTTCTAGTACTCCCTTACTGTCACTACACTCATTAACTTACTCTAATCTTGGTTCCACCTTTATGAATTCTTCTGTTCCTAGTCCTTGAAGACTTCCAAAATGCTAAATATAATTCTTACCCTTTCATTAGCATTTGACACTGAAAGGAATTGTAGGGATAAAATAGGCAGGTTTGGGGAGTTTTAGTTATAAAGAGGGTCCATGGGGGAGGAAGGAAGAGGTGAGGACTTAGAGCTCCCAGAAGGCATACATTCACAGAAAATAAAAATGTGCCACAGGATAAGGTGAGGGAGGAAGACATTCACAGAAGATAAGGAAACACCACAGGGCATGGGGATAGGGGGGGGAATGAAACTTTTACATAAGACAGAGAAATATCCACCCATGGCAGAAAGAGGAAAACAGATTTTCACAGGAGAAACGTTACAAGTAAGGGGGAGAGATAGAGGGTGGCACCACATTGGTTTTGGGCTTTGAAGCTGATATTCTGCAAAAAGAGTAACCGATTAGAAGAGCATAGGATCATAAAGTGAGGAACGGATCTAACTAGAAGGGAGCACGAAGGGACAGAGAACTACAGCCTTTATAAGCCTTAGAAAAAAGGAGTTTGGTGGGTTACCCCCTGGGAACTCCCTCCCTACATGGGAGTTTGTATTCGCTTCCAATAAATTTCTACTCTTTTCACCTATCACATTTTGTCCGTGGCTTCATTATTTGAATCCATCTGGACAAGGACTTTGGAAAGAAAACATTCTTGCATCCTGCTCAGGAAAACAACCCAAATCAGCACTATCCAGAATTCTTTTTCCCTTTGACTGCATTCTCCAGGATCTTTTACACCTTTTACCACTCCTATTCAGCCTCCTTCACTGGGTTTTCTTTGGCCTCTTCTTTACATTTATCATTCTCCAGGACTCTGGCCTTAGTCCTCATCTCTTTGACTCTGTTATATTCTTTATCAAGTTGGTCCATGCCTGTAATTTTGATTATCCCCAGCAATCATGTGTCCTACCTTTTTTCTCTTCTAAGCTATAGACCTGTATTTCCAAATGGTTGACTGGATCTTTCCATGTGGATGAACTTTCTTTTTTTGTTTTGTTTTTTTTAACATATTTTATTGATTTTTCACAGAGAGGAAGAGAGAGGGATAGAGAGCCAGAAACATCGATCAGCTGCCTCCTGCACACCTCCCACTGGGGATGTGCCTGCAATTTCCAAAGTACATGCCCTTGACCGGAATCGAACCTGGGACCTTTCAGTCCACAGGCCCAATGGACACTCTATCCACTGAGCCAAACTGTGGATGAACTTTTTAAAGACAGCAAATTCAGCACATCATCTCCTGTCCCAATTCCTCCTCCCTCCCACAGACACTCTATTCAGTAGAGACACCATTTAATAGCTGTAATAGTGTAAATAGCAGCAAAGACATTTTTAAAAAATACTTCATACAAACTTGACCACTAAAAGAAATAATGATTTCCTTTATTTTGACATCTGTAGTCAGTCACATGTTGCATTTGGGGCTAATTCATACAATTAGCTCTAAAAAAGGACTGCTAAAGAATTTGATAAGTAGGAGTCCATTGGCAATTGTCAAGAATGCAATTACAAGTCAATTGCCACCTGATTGTGATTGGTGTAGAATTGAAGAGAAAAGAGCTTTTGCTAGTAAGAATGGACCACTCTTTCAAGTTTGACAGTGAAGAGATAAGAGAGAGTAAACGAATGCCTTTAGGGCAGCGATTTTCCACAGTGGCAGGCACACTGGTGTGTCTCCTGAATATGTTTTTAAAATTGTTGACATTGTCACAGGTTTTCCTCATTCTTCCCCCTTTTATGCCACAAGAATTTTTAAAATGTGCAACACCTGACTATTTGTCAGAGGCACTGACCTCTTTTCTCTTAGATTGTCAAATTTAAAAAATGACAACAGCTAACACAACAATAGCCATCTGGTGTGAACGACTCAAAATTATATCTTATTTTCTTGTCAGATCATCAAAAATACATTTTTTTTTGGTGTGCCGTAGAATTTTAGTAATTGGTTTATCTGTGCCATTTTATGAAAAAGGTTGAAAATCCCTGCTTTAGGGGAAAGCAGATGTGAGGAAGTCATCTTTCAGGACAGAAAAAACTAAACAACTTTGCAGCTTGCTGGTTAGAAGGTGCTGGAAAAGGCATTAAAGATAGGGAAAATGAGAAGATAGCAACTGAGTACTGACAACCATGAAGAAGAGAATAGGAAGGTCTCTGTACTTTTGTGTACATAATATCTATGTAACATTTGCTTTAATAAATTAGGTCTATTTATCATTCATTGCAGTATTGAATAAATGATAGTAAAAAAAATTCAATGTTCACATGTGATCTTTAACCTTGACATTTATTTTGCCATCTGCAGTTAGACAAAAATTGCAGTTGAGTCAAGTGTATACAATTAACTAAATCATGTGTGTGTGTTTTCCTTTCAAATTGTCCTTCATATATTCCACTCCTAATGAGTATGAAGAATCCTTGTAATTCAACCCAGACACAACTAATATCTTTTAATTCATACTGTTACTTTTTAATAAAACATTATTCTAAAATTGAACATAGGGAGCCTCATATTTCAGGTCTCTAACTCATCAAATTATGTTGTTGTTTTGTTGTTACTTGCAAAATTTTCTTATGTAATGTATTCTTATATCTGCGACCATATATTGTTTTCCTATACAGTTTCCAAGTTTTATGGTTTATTGAATTCAAGTGGGTAAACCTAGCTTTCTGTTCTACTTTTGTGGAGGAACGAATGAAGGGGTGGGAAGCAAAGGGTAAAAAAGGTTAAGGGGAGATGGTGGAATGTCTGCAGAGAGGGGAGCTAGGGTCATCTTCCTTAAGAAAACTACAGATATTATTCAGGGCTATTAAGAAAGTTATTAGCACCAAGAAGGAACTAGATAGTCTTCTTTCCAGTTACTCAGAAAGGATTTAGAAAGGTGTGGGGAAGATGATGGGGGATAAGGATGCTTGGCATTTCAGTGATGGGACACTTATCTCCAGCTAAAAGCTCCTTACGGGGAATGAGGCATTGTCGGCAAATGATGAGTATATTTCCCTTGTGACTTTCCTCACTTTTCCCATTTCAAAGTGTTCCCTGTTTTAGCTCCACTGCACTAGCACTCCCTGCTGAACTGCCCTCAGGTGAGCAGTGCACAAAATCGCTAGTGGGCAGCATGCTGAGGCTGAGGTGGAAAGGGGCCTACCCTCACCGCCTCAGTGGCCAGGGGAGGAGGGAGGAGCACAGGAAGTGATTGTCCTGGGGCTTCTCCTCCCACAGAAGCCCTGCCTCCTCAGGCTCTCAGGCTGGGAGAGTGGAGAGAGGTCAGCTTTCTTTCTCCTTCTAGTTCAGTCCTTTGGCTGATGTGAGAGGCCACGCAGAAAGCGATGGAGTTGCTTTCTGTGCTCGACAAAAGTGCTTAGATAGAAGACAGGGGCTCCCGGCTGGGAGGAGGGAGGCGAGCTGAAGATCCCTGCCCGGGCTGGCTCATCTAAGCAGTCAAAGTGGGAGCTGAGTGCTTGAAAGAGGACTGTGCTCGCACTAGAAATAAGCAGTAAGTGAGCGAATAACCACCTTGGTGCAGAAAAGGCTTAATCCCCGCGGGGGTTATAGGGTAAACTAGGAAATAATTATTTAACTCTAGAGTAAAACTGTAAGAAATCTGCGTACAGTGTGTGCTGTTTGGAGACTAGGGTTTTAAATACAGAATCAGAGCTCTAAATTCCTCCTCCCACTTTTGGAAAATGCCAACTTCTGATTTCAGTAGTTGGAGTTATTATACTCTCCTTTCCTGACCTCGCCTCTCCCTAGGAAAATCTACTGCTGTATCAGATAAAGAGTTGGGATTAAATTGGAAAGGTGGGATGCTGGTATTGGCAGAAACTGCAGCCTTGAATTATGTTCTATGAATTCGGATATTTTTGTATCAATTAGCACTGATTTGCTAATCACAAGAAAATCTGGGGTGGGGCATTAAAAAGGAAAAGTTGAGAGCTTTTAGGACAAAGAGGCTGAATAGTCCTTATGTGTGGGATGAGATATAAAAATGTATATAATTAATAATAGTTGTTTAAAAAAAAGTATTAAACTAGAACAGCATGTCAGAATATTGTGCTTAGATAAAAATTAGTTAGAAAAGAAGATATTTTTGTTTCAATGACTTTTTGTGGTAGCCTAAATGTTCACAATGCTTACAAAGACAAGACAGTGACTCAGGGATACTTCTATGATTGTCATACATTATAAATACTATTGCTGGGCAAAATCTGTGGTTCTCTGGTCAGCAAGTTCTGGCAATGAAGCCACTGCCTCTGCTGCAAAGAATTCTGGGATGTCTGACAGTGACATGGATGGAAGGACCCACATTCCATCTCTACTTAATGTCCTTGTGTCCGGAAATCGAGTCATGCAAATGAGCTACTTGGTACGTATAGATCAATATTTGGAAAAGCATTTCTAAACGTTTTGCATTAGAGGGTCTCTGGACAATATCCTATGGCAACCAGTGGACTAAAAGGATATAAAAGCAAAGTGATAGGAAGAAACTCAGCTTGGTTGAAACCACCTTTGTTCTCTTTGTTCTCCATTAATCCTGAAATGGTTCCTCAAATGAGGACAAGAATAACAATAGAGAAAAGTACTGGGGCCAGCTGTTTTGTTTTAAGTGGCCAAATTCATTAATATATGAATGAGACTGTATTTATGCATCCTAATACTTGAAGATTCAGAAATCTCTTTATTACATACACGAAACACACACACACACACACACACACACACACACACACACACACAAAAAAAAAAAAACAGAAAAATCATAGGTATGTTTATTAAGGAGGAAATATGGAAATCTGGTTTTAATGTTATGGGGGGGGGGGGGGAAGACAAGATTCATGTCCCACACTGTAAACAAATTTATGACTTGTTTCATGAAGGATATCATTTTCTCCCCCAATGAGATAGGGATTCTAATGTGGTACAGTAGGTGCAAACATAAGAAACATTTTTAATTCCCTTAATTCTAGTCAATGTAGCTAACATCTAAAGAAGAAATTGTTTTTTAAAAATAATAACTTTGAACTATAGCTAACTGTATAGCAGTATTTTTCTTTTCCTTTTGTTTCTAGTCCCTTTGTTAAAGTACCTAAAGGAACTTTAATTTCTGAAATTAGGGAGAAATGTGTCATTTCTTGCATTCCCATCAGCAGGGCATTGCAAGAAAGAATAAAAAAGACTCAGATAAATAATCTTTCTCCTATAAGCACAATAAAATGGTTGTCATGATCTATATCCTTTTCTGATGTTAGAAATTTTTTTTCTGTGGGGTAGATAGATGGAGAATGGGCATGGGGAGGAAATGACAAAATGCTAATAAATTCATTATTAAAGATGGTCTGTACTCTTCTAACTTTTCAAACTAATTCTGAAAGTTATTTATCTTTTTAAAATTATTTCTGAGTTGTTTTTACAATGTTCGTTTATATCTGATTTATAAGCAAATGTGTAAAATCTAAAGATTTGTTATCTGAGTTGCAGGATACTGGTCTTATTCTTAAAAATATATAAGGGATTAAAATAAAACATTTAATATTTGAAGGCTTAAGCCTAGTATTACTAACTGCAGTTTTGACCTTTAAGAAAAACATGCTCAGACTCTTAAAGGAATTACTTATATTAAAGTATTAAAGAATCTTTTCTTAAACTACAGAATTTAAAAAAAAAACGCATAACAATATTCAGAGAAGACTAAAGATGTAATTTGTATGGAAGAGGCTAAGCAAAAAAATACTTAATGAATAATTATAAACCAACAGCTTAACAATAAAACATTTGCTATTGTCCATGAGCAACTGACATGAAGAATAATGTATTATGACTAGGGAACAAGGCTAAGTAAACTTTATCTTTTTAAAGTATTAAGTGGGATTTAGATTATTAATGGAAACACACTAAATGATCATTTAAAATTATTCTTTCACAAGAAAAGTAAAGAAAAAGGATATGGAAAACTAAGCAGTGATGAAGACCTCGAGATAATTGTTGATCAAAAGCAGGTAAGTGAATGCTTACATACATTTTCTACTGTTTTGCTGTAGAGTTTTGACAACTGAAGCCTCTGAGCATTCAGCCTGCCCTAACCCAGGCCTGTCTAACCGAGGTCTGCCTAACAAGATAGATTTTGAGAGCTACTAAGCTTCCGCCTACGACGCCTCTGATCCACTGACTTTTGTATGTCAGAGTGTAAGAATGGTGAAAAATAAAGCAGAACAAGACAAGAGGGCTTTTGGAAAATTGAAAGCCCCCTTTGAAAAATGAATCAAAACAGCAATGATAATTTGGTTAGCCAAATGGATTTAAGCAAGACTCAGAAAGTATACTTTTTTGGAAAATGAGAAATGTTACTCTTAGTGTAAAACAATGGATATGATTTAGGGAGATGGAGACAAAAGACTTTAAAAAAAAACTGAAAAGTTTAAAATATATCTACCTATAGACAGACAGACAGACAGATAGATAGATAGATAGATAGATAACCCAATTTAGTTTCTCAACTAGTCTTCAATAAATTTAGAGCTGATGTTTAAAAAACAAAATGAAGCTATTTAATACCTGCAATACTGCCTATAATTTGAGAAACATCTAGCTTGGGTTTTATATGGGCCCATAAGGTGAAATGAAAACTGCTTAATAGACCAAAAACAATGACACGCCAGGTAATGGAAGGTGTCCAGCTTATGCCACTGAATTGGCATCAGCGCTTAACGTCTTTGTTAATTGTCAGGGAGACACACTAACTGCACATTCACTTAATGTATAAGTGGCATTGATTCTGAGGGTGATGTAAACTCAGGTGGAGATAAATAATGCAAAGGGATCTGAGCAGATGAAGAGGTTGGAAAGACAGCAAGCTACAGAAAGGCAAGTTGGATTTGGACAGTTTCCTAATTGTGCATTTGTTTTTGCATTGTGGTGATTGCATTGAAGGAGCAATTGTGTATATTTCTGAAAAGGAAAAATGACCATCAGAAAATAGCACCCAGAAACAGTTAACTTAGAGACTTGCTTGTTAGAACTGGAATAACTGAGATAACCGAAGTGATCTTCTGGGGAAAACTGGCCAAATGACCTCCATAAACAACCTGCAAGTTTTTCTTGCCTTATCTTCACTTTCCGGGTCCAGAATAATATACGGGGGCAGAGAGTGTTTGGCCCTGTATTTCTACTTAGTGCCAAATTGTCAGTTTAGTTAATAAGGTAAGTGGAACTGGAGCCTGATTGCTCCACCGGGCTGTTAGATCTCTTTTGAACTATGCCAGGATTATTACTTGGGGCATGCAATCTCCATCTCCCACAGCCTGGCATTCTGATCAAAGGACCGGCCCTATCTGGTGAATGATGCCATTTGTCATATGATGAGAATATACAGGTCTATGCATTTTCTATTAAAACAAAAAGGTTTTACTTAATTTCTTTCTTAATCGTGTGGCAGGTAATTTTTTACTCTTTTTTGTATTTCTTTAGTTTCATCCTACCCTAAGGCTGCTTTTCTTTTCTTTTCTTTTTTTCCCCCCCTAAAGCTTCTTTTTGTTTTTAACTGAATTCGGGGGTTCTAAAAACTATCAAATTGTACATGGAGATCTTAGCAGTGGAAAGCCCTAGAGAGTCATGGTTCTTTTTATCTCATGGTACCTTTCATAAAACGTACGTTGGTGTGCCCAAGCATATTTTACTAACTGTTAAGGAAGCTTTAAAAAATGAGAGAGAGAGAGAGAGAGAGAGAGAGAGAGAGAGAGAGAGAGAGAGAGAGACCTACTTTACTGCTTTTTCAGAAAACAGCACTTTCTATACCTGAATCAAAGGAGGGAGAATTTTATTGTCCAGTCATTGTTTGCCTCTGTGGTTATCACATTTCCTCTGGTGCCATTGTGCCTGTTGGCACCAGCTGGCAGGGACCCAGCTTTGCTGAATCATTCGTGTCAAACACGTTTCAAAAGATGAGTAATTACGAATATGACTTGGCATTGGTGTTTGCTGTTGGCTCTAAGAGTAGTTCTTCCGTTTGGGGCAGTTTATTTAATGTTGATGTTGTGAGTAAATCCCAGGTCGGACCAATGACAGTGTTGCTACCTGTAAGTAAAATATTTGGGAAAACACTCTAATTAGTCTTTATAATTCTACAAAAAATTCTTCTTGAATTTAAGAGATCAACATGAAAGGTATGTGTGTAAAATGCATGTTTAATATTGCTTCATCTCATAGATTATACATATTATTTATATGCAATCTGATTTTATGTATTGATATATTATTTATATATTATTTATATATTATATATACACACACTATTGGAGAGGAATCTTAATGTTCAATTTATTCTTCCTATCTTTTTCAAAAACAGGCTAGAAATATCTTAGACAATCTTCATACAATTGCAAATAGCTTTTTCAGTAAATGGTGCCAAAAATCTAAAGATTGTAAAACATAGTTAGAGGCTGTGATGGGCGGAAGTCTACTAATCTCATTAAATCTGTCCTTCAGAAGCTGTCACATTACAAATGCTGTGCAAGCTATGTGCCATTTTATCAGCCGTGCAGTCTGGTACTTCCACAGAAAGCCCACAATTTTGCTTATATAAGGAAATTAATAACAGAAGAAGCACAAGAGTACATGTATTCTGTTCTCCCTGGCTGCCCACATTCAAGAGGGTAAAGGTTATTTCTGAGTACAGAGTGCTGGGGCCAGCCTCATTTTCCAGTTCTGTAGGTGTGGGGTGGGGCCCAAGAATTTTCATTTCTAAGTCCTCATCTTCCACTGATGGACCACACTTTGAGGCCCACTGGGTCAAAGGAGATAATTATTGCGGTTCTAAAGAGAAAACAAAAATATATGGCTTGTGATAAATTTGACCTTGTTTAACTGGGCATTACCTTGGAAACCTAAAACCCAGAATTCATAGACATCCAACAAAATAATGCTGAAAACAAGAAAACTACAACCATGTACAACCAAAGTTGCCTTTAAAGACCCAGTTTTCCAGTCTGACTGAATTCCACTTGGTAGCCTTGTGCTCTCAGATCTTTTCTTATTTGTAAAATAATACTTTGCTCTTTCTACCTCCTACTGTTTCTTTGAGATAAAATTTGTAACAGTACTCTTTGAACTGTAGATCATTGTGATTTTCATTAGCTAGTCATTATCACCTGTATTCATTTACCTTATCTGCCAAAACAAAATACCATAGATTGGGTGCTTAAAATTCCTCCCAGCTGTGGAGACTGGGTGCTTGAAGGACAGGCATTTATTTCTCCAAGATCAAGATGCTGGCCCATCCTGAGGGTTTCAGAAGAGCCTTTTCCTGGCTGCTTTCTCTCTGCATCCTCGCTTGGCAGAGAGAGACCTCTGGTGTCTCTTTCCGTTTTATGGGGGCCCAGCCCTTATGGCCTCATTTCACCTTTATCACCTCCTCACAGGTCCTGTCTCCAGATACAGAGTCACATTCAAGGTTAGGGCTTTAATGTGAATTTGAGAAAGGGGTACACATACAGTCCATGAAACTACCCCATAAACTCAGTTCTAGCAAACAGGACCATTGAGTCCTAGCAAGGTGATCAAGATACCTTGCGGCCCTGGTCAGGTACAGAGAGAGCACTGGAAGCCAGCTCTCCCATCACTGCCATTCCACACAGCCCCTCTACCCTTGCCCATTACTGGTCATCCCATGTGAGTCTTAAAAAGCTGTTTTGCTTCAGTGCTCTAATTATATAAAATAACAATCTACTGGGAATTATTATAATTGGCCAATATTTATTTATCAAACCTTCACAGGGACAACCTTCTCCTCACACTTTTTAACTATTTATTTCCCTCTTGGCCCCTGTGGCTTTGCCAAGGGAGAAAGGCCCTTCAGTGCAACTGTATACAGAATTACAGCTAAAAGGTACTGTTGACATCTACTTATTTCTTCCCTTCCCTACCCAGCCTCCTTAGGGAGAGCCTCTCACCAGGCATGAGAAGCACCGTGGAGAGAGACAACACATACTTTTCTTAGTCCATAACCTTTCTACGAGTGTCCTTTTAAATGTGTAGGAGAAGCCTACACAGAAAGCCAAGGAAACTAGACTTTCTGTGATCTTTCCCTGAAGGACAAGAAGACACAAACTAGAGCCATCCCCTTGTGTTTCCAGTAGCAAATAAGCCTTTGAGTAGGATTGCAGTGCTGTCCTAGTGGTCCTTGTGGGAATGGATCCTCAAGAGGAAAATGCAGGTCAACACGAAATGAAAATGGAATCATAAGAAAAACAGATTAATGGGAGATGATAGCCACTTCTTTCTGGTGCTAGTGGAGTGTGATCATACCCACCCAGAAGCTGCCGAGCTGAATCTAACTCCTGAGCAGTAAAAGGGATGTGGATGATCTGTTTCTCTGCCTTGTACTCAGCACCATCTAGCCATTGATATGTACTCTGCCATATCAATGCAGTGACTTAATCCAAATATAATTCAGATGACCTTCACCTCTGAGGAGACTTGTGAAGCATGAGTGTCCTATGACAACAACTGTCTCTCAGTGTTGTTCTACTGCTTTCCCTGGGTACCTTCTTGGAACTCTGCACTTGGTCACCAAGAACAGAAAACCCTCTAGAAGTGCAGGAAGTGACAACCTTGAGGTTCTGAACCAGTCTGCTCTGAATCATGGGAAGAACAAAACACCTTATGCAGTATACTCACAGCAGACAAAGGATCATTAGCATTTTCCTCAGGAAAGAGTGATCGATGAGCAATGGTTCAATGGGAAAAAAGCCTTATGTAGTTGTAGTGAGAGAGACTGAAGCTATTCAAATTTTCTATCTATCTGAGATCTGCATTGGAGTAAACAAATATTCACGACTATAGCCCAGTCAATGCTGTCTTGTCTATGAAGATATTTATCATCAATAAATATTGCACAAGCAAGGGGGAAAGTTTCCCACTAGGTTAAATTGAAATATTACTGGAATAAAGCATGATCACTCTGTATTTTATTCCTAAATAGTCTTTATTTGTGTCAGGTAAT